TGTCATTAAATTCTTTTCTTGTTTGTCATCAGATATAACTGGTTGTTCTGCAGTTTCATGCGCTTCAGTTACTTTTCCTTTTTCAAATTCTATAGTAGTTACATCTCCTATATTTTCAGCTGCAGATGTTTCATTGGAAGCTTTTTGCAGTATTGATTGTACATTAGAGGTAGACAATGAGGAAGTAACAATGTCTTTTTCATTTTTCGAAACTGGTAATAAGGGAGCCAAAGGCTCTAGTATATTAACTCTATTTAAGTATGTAATTCCCTATTAAAAAAAAGATGTATAAGTTTGTAGATAATATCCTTATTTTAATGAGAAAAATGAGTTTTTTTATCACAGAAATCGCATACCTCTGTTTGGAGTAAATTTTCGGAAATACCTAAATGAATAGCAATTTGATTTGGTGGAAAAATAACGTGTATGCAATATTGTACATAGGGAATTAATTGTTCGCTTAGACATTCTATAAATTTGAGCATATTTTCTCTTTCTGCAGCTGCAAAAGCCTACACAATAAATTTATTAAATTAAATTCGTAAACCTTCAAATAAAAAATACTATCAACTTACTTGTTGTTCTTGCTTATAAAAAATTAGTATTGCTTTTGCAACCAAATATAAGGACTCTTGTAGAATATTTGTAGAGAAAACAGAAAGAGCTACTGGTGGACAAAGTCGTATTTCATTAAAAGCAAATATGAGACCATTACAATATTCGGCTAAAGGATAAAACTCCACTAATTGTTCTGGCGGATTTTCCTGTACAGAGAGAAGAATACTTTATTAGTTAATTTATTTTAAAATATATCTAAGAAAGTCAATTATAAATATTAACTACTTACTGACTTAATTGTTGTTGTATTTATTTTCATATTAGTTCTTTGAATCTTATTAATTAGGGTAAACGATTCCATATCTTTCTCAAACTTTTTTGTTGTTTTACGGACACTAGACTCAAATTTTTCACCAATTACACGTACAAATATGTCAGACATTCGTCCAGTGAAGTCTACTCCCACTCTTCCAAATGATAAACCAAAATATGTGCACTGACCCAAAATGGAATCTATAGATGTTACACCTGGTAAATCTTGTTCTAGTGTCGTTAAAAATTGAGATATCTTTTCTTCAATCCAATGATAAAATATAGCACACTCATTTACAGTTGGATCTCGACCTGGCATTATGAGCTCATCATCATTAAACATGGCTCTATATTGTGTTATTATATTAAATAAATGTATCCTTGATAATTCTATTGTTTTTGTTATGTGGAGATTAGCTAAAGAACAACACATAATATTATTAAAGCATGTACTTGACAATTAATTAATGTAAAATTTACTTACGATCATCCTTGGGTATAGCATTCAAGAGGCTCTGAAGCCAGCTGTCACGTGCTTGAAGAAATTTAATGCGTAATTCTGGTTCTGTAAAAGCATCCATTGATCGTAATAGTCCAACAAGTTGTAAACATCTTGGAAGTGGCAAATCTCCTCTTAAAGACCCCACAACTTGACCTACCATGCCTGACCAACTGCTTTCAATTTCTGCTACTATGGACTACATTATTAATGAATAAAATGAAATATATAATATGATAGCTCCATATGTCTAGTATCAATTACCGATATAATTGGAATATCTCCATGTTTTGTTCCTAATTGACGTGCGTATTGAGACAATTCTAACGCCTCATTATATTGATTGCTTCTTAAACATGATTCCATTAGTTGAGGCATTTCAAGAACTTCAAGTAATTCTGCATTTCTGGTTAATGTTAAACTATTCACTCTCCTATGTGCATTTATATCTTTCGAGGCGTCGCAAAATAATTGGCATTTCTCCACAAACTTGGGAATCTTTTGCACGAGCCCATCAAGCCAGCATTCAGTTTGATTAAACTTAAAATCATATATTGAATTTATATTAGTAAATTAATTTTTGCAGAATATATTAGAAAATATTACTTTCTTACTTGTTTAAATATTTCTCTGGAACTCTCTGCAGTTTGTACAAATGTTTTATAATTTGTAAATACTAGTTCTTGAGTGGTATGCAACACTGAATTTTTCTCATCATCTAGATGATCAGGTTCTTTACCTGAAAAATAAAATTATTTTATATAAAATATGTTTCACGTGACTCCAGTTATTTAAGAGTTACCAAAATTATCTTACTGAGTTGATCAACATCATAGCCACCAAGTTTTGACAAGTATTGATAAAATTCAGGGTTTTCTTTCCATGACTCTAAAAAAATAAAAGAATATGTACAGTTTTTTACAAATCAAAAGAAAAAGTTATATATTATTAAATCATATCACAATTTTATTCGTATCATATGGAAGTAAATCACCTTGAATCCCATTTGGAAATATAAGGTTTATAACATTTTCAGTTTCGATGTCCATTTTTCATTTAGTACATTTATATATTCGTGTGGAATGTTTAAACTGTCTTTATGTTTTTCACGTTATATATGCAAGAACACGTCTGCAACATATATACATACTGCACGATTTTGACAGAATGTCTTCGTCTACTTTAGTAGTATTAGTAGATATGTACGTGTCGCGATGCAATTATTGGTTATTCAATGTATGCACTGTGATACATACAGTGACACCTAAGTTTCTGCAAGACTCTCCGGCCCCAGGGCGCTCCGTTAGCGAGAATAGGAGTAGAAATTGTTTTGCTCTGGTTGACTGACTCAATGCTAAAACAGGGTTCACTGCGGATTTGATGCACCGTAAAATGTTAGGGATGCTTGCAAAAGCTAAGGGAGGTAGAAAAATCCTGCATAACTATTGTAGTACACATATACATTATATGGTCTAAGGATGACACGGAATCCAACGGGATCTTACAGCTTACAGGAAAGATCTAATGATTTTAATGAACGAATGGAATTATTTATTTATCATAACGCTAAAAATTTAATGTAACTTACACAAGATGAAATTATTGACTCAATAATACATTTTATTTATTGACTCAAGAATATATTTATTATCATTATCATCCCATTATTTCTTTTATGAAATTAAGTTATTTTAGTTTTCTACAGAATGATCCACTTAAACTTAAAATCCACTTAAAATTAGGTTTATCGTTATATGTACAATTTTTTGTTACGAAATTATAACAGTTTAAACACAGACATATTACATAGCGAGAATCGAGCATCGGGTATTCTGTGTACATACTATTCTGTGTACATACATATGTATATAACTTGGTTGTATTGTATCGCACATACATACTGCTTTTATTCCACGTGGTTTTGCTGTCTCTATCGAGTTAGGTTATTTACATCCAGAATATACAAGTCTTTATTTATTACACGCGTTTGCTTTTATGTTAATTATTACATAAATAGCAATG